TACAACACCAAACAACCATGTTGTAGGGCTCTTACTCTCTCCCTTTAGGTCTATCTATACTATGATAGGTCCTTTCTTTGGCCACCCATGGATGGGGATACATCCCTCTCCACAATTCTTTTGCCAACTATTTCTCACCTCTACAAATGATCATTTGTTTTGTCCTATCAGGCCCAGAGGTGTTATGTGGCTCATTTCTTTTGTGGTGATAGTTCTCATCTCTGTATTATTTAGGATACTTCAGTTTTGAAAGTTTATCCCACTTCCTTGAAGGTGGTTTTGCACATATCCAGGTTGCATATTCTGGATTTTACAGGCAAGGAAACTTCTGAGAGTTACATCTCATCATTGTCTTTCATTGCTCATTTCTCTCCCCCCCTCCCCCCGCCAATGGCCATTTTGACAACATCTGCTAGGTTATATGAAGTAGGGAGTAATCTTACGTAATCTTATCTTGTCTTTCTTTTTCAGGGTACCTTACATCTTGCTTTCACTGGATCCCACTCTTTTGCGAGTGTTGCCCAAATAGGTGTGTTTTATCAATTCAATTCTGCACTAGCAACCCATTTGACTATACGTAATTCTGGTTACAACAGGCTCTGTATAAATGAGGTGTTCCATAAGACCAGCTAGGCGCGTTACCTGATAGTATTATCATGGACCACTACTCTGCCTGTCCCTGCTGATCATCGGATTGAATAAATCGGGTTGAGTTTGCATTTAAATATTTAGGGAACTTGATTCACCTATTGCACTATTTCCAGAGCACTGTTCCTCAGGACTCCCCAATGCATGTTACCCCCCCCCCCTCCAAGGTTCTACTAGTGGAGCTAGGGAGTCCTTAACACACCCAGTTTCCAGTCACTGGGGTGGTGGACAGAGGATTTTTTTCCAGAATGTTCGAGTGTGTTCCTCCACTCTTGGAGAAGACTTTGAAGCTGGGGGCCGGGCTACATGGGAGATTACTCGTAATACAGGTTCAGATCTGATACAACGCTATCCGGTTGGGGTGTGCTTGGCCCTTCTTATGAACAATGTTGGGCTGTATTTGTTCATTGATGGAGGTCCACTATCTCCTCATAATTCTGAACATGAAGTAGTCCTATCCTTGGTTGAACACAGTGTTCCACATCCTCTCCATAATTCTGGGGACAAGTGGAATGCTCATTGTCCACTCAGTTGGAGAATGAGGATGAATGTTCATAATTCCAGACTGGTTGAGTTCTGTTCCTTTCTTTGAGTAAGGCATATATGATCCCTTCATTCTGAGCTTCGGGTGGTGCCTTTCGGACTTCTTCAGGTGGAAGAGAAAATTTGTCCATTTCAGTGTTGCTTACTTTCTCATCATAATTTCGGTAGTTCATAACACATCACTCTATGGCTACAGGTTGTGATCCAATCCAAAGTATATCTATATATTACATTGCGGTCCAATTGCCCTAGCCACCGACGTGGGATATAGTGACCATGATCCCTTAATTCCAACCCCGAGTTGTGGAACCTCAGTTACCTAGTTGGGGCTGGCTTGTAATAATTACTCATGTACTATTCCACTCTTATACCAATATGAAGTTCTGGGTGAAGAGCATACCTGTTTTGGATGTAGTGTGGTTTCCCCATTTGGATACCACTCTTATCTTGGTACACCCCTGTTCTATACAGATGATCTCTGTATGGCCAATTCCCTCCAGCTTCTCAATGTGGAATTCTAGCTAAAGTGTAAGTGGAGGGTAAGTATGTTTTGGAAGTTAACATTTTCCTAAATTGAAAATGTATTTCCAATAATACTTACCTCCGCTGACTTTCTCCCGCCCTTCCTTCTCACTATGAGCCGGTGCTAGTGACTGGGATGGTATAAGTCTCAAAAAAGTGATTACGTTGTGTGAGTGAGGTGCTTATATAGAGTGTCAGGATAGAGGGTGCATTGATGCAGGTGGAAGAATTTGCAAATTAGATGTTGCCAAGGGCATTTAAGTGGGGTATAAAAGACGCATGCAAGATCAATGCTTGGATAGGCAAAGTAATAGCTAAAGTGTATGCAGAGGTAAGTATTATTAGAAATACATTTTCAATCTCGTACACATTTTCTGTGTTTGGTAGAGTACTTACCATGTGCAGAGGTATTCAAATCTGAACTAAAGATATTAAAAAAAAAGTTTAAATTAATAGAAGAAAAACTGGTGTCTAATATTGATCATCCAATGACCTTGAGATATGGCCCAGGGAAAGGCCTTATTTGTGAGAGGGGAAGAATGTGATAGTTTGAATTGTTAAAATGATGCCTTACTAGCAGTTGCTGGTGATTAACCCTTTAGCTTAGTTTGTAGAGCACTTGTCATGCATGTGGAAGGTCTTGGATTTGATTTCAACCTGAGGGAAGGGAAAAAATTAAAATTACTGCAGTATTTGCCTACTACAAGGTCAGTTAGTACACAGTTTTTTATTGAAAATCTTTATATATCCAATTGAGTTAGAAAAAAAAATTGCTTTTGTTTGTAGCCAATGTTTGCTCATCTCTGACAACCAGACAAGTGCTAATGTTGAGTCTTTAATTGAATGAGATTATTAACTATCTTCAGCTTATATTTGTACACACCTGTTCTTGTTTGAAGTCTAATTTGCTCTAGCTTCAACTTTTTAATGTTTGATTTAATGTTTACTTTATGTGTAAAACATAAAATTTAAGGTCAAGTGGCCTGTTGGTCTATCTAGGCTGTTCCATTCATTTAAGAAAACAAAAAACTTCAAGCCAGCGTTTCTCATTCAACTACTTGTCAAGCCTCCTCTTAAACTCCCTTACATTTACTGCACCCACCACATCTTAAAGCAACCCATTCCAAGGGCCAACTACCCTGTTATAAGACTAAAACCATCTTAACTTTTCGACAGTCACAAAACAGTTGCAAACTATATTTTTTTTTACGTATGCCTTGTTAACAAGTCCCCCTTTCCCCTCCCAAGCTAATAAAGCTCCACTCATTTTTACCAAAGCTGGTCTGATGAAAACTGATTTTGTTTAGATTTGCAGCTTTCAATTGGTTATGGTGTGGATCAGTGTTCCCTGTAAGCTGCACAACAACCAATCAAGTGTTGCACACTTAATTATTCCAGTCGACAGTATAAAAATACCCCCATCTAAAAAAACTGGTATCACACATCTGCACATTACCTTGATACAAGTGCACATAAAAAAATGTATTCCACACATGGATTGAAAAATTAGAGGGAAAATTGGTGTGGATGCTGTTATCTAGTCTGAGAAAACATGTTTTATACTGGACATCTGAACAAAAATTTATTCCTCAATTGATAAATACTGAATTTCAATGATACATGAAACACAAACTATGCAGAACTATGTGTAGGGGAGTATGTTGATGGAATTTTAGATTCTTGTCCAGAGATTGAATATGTTATATTAAAATGATTTTGAAGCCTTACTCTCTACTTACAGCCCATGTTACAACATCAGGTCATGACTACATCAAGACAGTAGCCTTGCAGCTTAATTTTCCTTGCAGAAACTTCGTTGTAAGATTGCCATACCCAAAGCATACCACTTCTCACTGTAGGCTGTCCATAATCCATCTAGTGTAAGAGAACATTTTTCCAGTCTCCATTTCAGTAGTTGTCCATAAGTTCATGGGTACTGTTTGTGACTACTTGACTGATATATCTTCATATAGAATAGCATGAATACCCATTTTCTTGTCCATCTGTGTGAGGTATGCAGTGGTTAAACAGTAGGTATGAGATATGACTGCAGATCATATCTTGATGAACTCATACCCTTTAGGCCTTGGTCACATGAATGACTTTTACCACTGACCCTTGTGGATTCTCACCTCTAACAAGATGCTGCACTTTTCCTACCATAGCTGAGGTGTGACTCATTGCAAGTTTCTTTCTGGATGGTCCAGGTCTCCCATGTTGATTGATATTCCTTTGCTCTCCAGTGTCATTACGTACAAGAGATATATCTCCATCTTGTAAATTCTAAATCACCAAACTGAACATGTTTTTTATTCTGAGAGTATGATGTATTGGAAATGGCTGTTACATACCCTTCACAAAAAATTGATAAGTTTTCAGTGGCATCACACTTCCTACAAAATGGCAAACAATGTCAAAATGTATATCATATACATGCTGCACCACTGTGACTTTATATTGGCTGTGGTTATCCATTAACCTGTTGATTTGAATTTGCAGAATTTGTTTTAATATAATGTTCTTAATACTTTATATTAGATTACATGAATATACATTGCAAACCTACTTAGAGCTGAATTCTGTGTTATATGTTAAACAAACCTGCAAAATGCAAACTGTTATTCAAGTTTAATAAATATTACTTTTATGTGCTTGCTAGAGTTTTTTTTTTCAATTATATTGGCTCCAAAAATCATTTTTACTTCATTTAGCATGGATGGAATATAAGATGTTTTGTTATTGTTTGAGATAATTGTAACATTTGTACTTGTTAAGTAACAATTTTAACTAGTTTTATGAAGGAAATTTAGATTTTTAAATATTATATATATATCAAACATAGTTGTAAATTATAGTTGGATATTTGCAGGAGCAAAATGCACTGTTGTAATTTAGTTGAGTAGCAGTGAAAGAAACAAGTGTTAGGCCTAAGAGGGAGTTTATTCACACTTAAAATGAGATCTTAACAGGGTTGTGTCCTTCTAGGTAAAGACTTACTGTGTAAAGAGCTCCAAGTTGACTGTGTGTGTGTATATTATTTTTGTCAACTAATTGCCGAGTCTGAAGTGTATACATACTAAATCAAGTGAATATTGAAATGCAAACAAAGTTCTATTTTTTTGAGTGTATTAAATGTTCATAACATTGTCAGAATATGTTTACAATTAGATTAGTTATAGGAGTTACAACTTTACAGAAAGGGGGAAAATTATTATTCAAAGGTTTGATATATATATATATATTTACATAAATTTCTAAAATGTAATTACTATTTATTTTATTTTCAGACTTAGGTATCCAGCAAAAAGTGCTCTTGGAAACAATCCTCCTTCAGTCTATAATGTGCCTCAACCTGCAACAAATACTAATGTATCAGTAAATCCCCATCCTACATCACAGATACCTCCTGGAGGTAATATACTGCCTCCTCAGGCTAAGGTAGACTACCCTCACAGTAAATCAATCATTCCCAACATTCCTCAAGCATATGATGTTCCCAGTTACCCAGTCCACCCAGATGTGCGTTTTAAGCCACTGCCTTTTTATGACATTCAAGGAGAACTTCTCAAGCCAGCGAGTTTGAGTAAGACTTTCTTTATGTAAAACTCTGTGTTTTCATATGTAGTAGGAACTGTGGTGGATGCAAATGTCATAACAATACATTAATGAAGGTAATTCCCATATGTTCATAGGCTCTGACTTTTAAATGGCATTTAGTTTTGCCAATATAGGAGGCCTTACAGTCTCCACACGTGTAAAGATAGACAAGCCAGGAACAATAAGGAATGGGGAGGAGATCTTTAGTAGAGAAGAAATTTTGTATGCAAAACGTGGATTTAAAAACTAATCTGAAATCCAATTGAGGGTAGTAACAACCAAGTATAAAGATCTCCTCCCCATTCCTTATTGCTCCCGGCTTGTCTATCTTTACGCATATGGATATTGTATGGCCTCCTATATTGGGAAAACCAAACATCATTGAAAAGTCAGAGCCAATGAACATGTGGGAATTTCCATTAATGAAGGTCTTTCAAAGGTTTGCTTGAGATTTTTGACCTTTTCTTTAATTGTTTATTTATCTCTAAATACTTTTGGTTTCCAAACTAAAAATATCATACTTAAAAACAACACCTTATTATGATTAAAGTTGCCTTTGCAACAATCTCTGGTGATGTATGCAATATAGTGACATCATTTAGCCTGTTTCTTTTTAAAATTCAGCATCAAAGTAGTTCTGTAATATATTTAAATGTAAATATGATTTCAAACTCACTAAATGTAGAGAATTAACATTAAACTCTGAGATGTTTTTCAAAATGATTACTAATTTTTTATTATTTACAAGGTTTTTGCTCCATTACTGGAGCCTATGTCAGGTAAGATGCTATGTATTGATTGCTTCAGCATTGTATAGTAGAACATTTATAAAAAATATCACCTAGCAACAGTACTATAATCAAAGTGACATTTAGCATAATTTTAAGAACTAAAAAAATAATTGATTTATGGATAAAATGAAATTGGAAAGACATTTAATTAACATTTACTCGCATATTAAGTTTAGAATTGTCTTTAAACCAATGTTTCATTTAAGTACTTATTTGAAGTATATAGACAGGATTCCTATAACACATCACTCTTACATCATATATAAGTTTACATGTCTAAAGTGTAACTTTGGCTATGTGGGCTCTATAACATGTCTGAGCTCACTTATTAAAGAGCATGCACAAAACACAGCATATAATCAGTCGTCCATCCTTCACCACTGTTTACTGGATGGTGACACAAATGTCACTTTTAAACACTTCAACATCTTTGAGAGTGCAGATAGCAAAGAAAGGCTATGCATTAAGGGAAATTTTTGTATGTACAAGATGCATCCTGAATTAAATGTTAGTCAAACAGCTTCACTTTTGCTTCTGAATCTCTGAACTGATCATTGCCCGAGGAGGGTTTTGGAAACATGCGAGTTATATGTAGGATATAGTACTTTTTTCCAATACAGTCACTCCCTTCCATACACAAAAAACTATTTTTCTCTTGAAATCATGCTAGTTTGTCTCAGATTGAATCCCACCAGCATTGTGAAAACTCCCATCTTAACTGCATGTGACATTACGTTACTGCATGATGAAATATCATGCAGCAAAGCCTTCCACCAGTAGGAGAATGACACACTTCCTTGCATAAATGCACCCTCTACATTCCTGAATGAAATATTTCATTCTTTTATTAGCATGTTTGTACTTAGACAGGTATATTTTTTGCTGAGATTTGTTGAAGTGATTACTTCAACGGTTTTACTTTGTATTTTCAATATGAATTCACATTTTAATGTGAATTATTTTTTCTGCTGATGTGAGTAGAAACATCACTCATTGTTACAAGCAATAAAACTATTTTCTAGGAATTCTAACCATTGTAATATCAAACAAATGTCTGGAATTTGAACTTCTATGCATAGATATTTCAAATGTAGGCAGGTCACATGACAGAAAATTGAAGAATAATAGGTTGATTCAGAGGGTTTTTTTTAAATAAAGGAATAATAACTTGTATAATATAAAACTTAATTATAACATATTTGGTAATGCTAATTTCATTAAAATACATTCATAGTAAATTGGTTTAATTAAATTTTGAATGTAAATCAATAACATTTTGTTATATGCTCAGAAAGGAGTTTAAGAAGTGCATCATCATTAATGGGTCAAACTTTGCCATATAAACATAACTGTTAAAGTTTGATTCTAGTTCCTTATTCTTTAACATGTACACCTAGAAGTTAATGTTTAGTTCTTGTTATTTACTTCCTCACATGTACACATCAATGATAATGCTTAGTCTTGATTAATTATTCCTTGCCAGGTACACATCCTTATTAAGGTTTGGTTCTTTCTCCTTAACATGTAACACATTGGGATTAATATTTCGCTATAGTTCATTGTTCTTTTACTTGTACCCAGAGGAGGTAATTCTTAGTCATAGTTAATTTTTCCTTCCCCCTGTCCCACTTAGTATATTGTGTTTGGTCATTGTATATTGATCCTTTCCATATACACAACAATTGGTGTTGAGAAATAGTTGTTTATTCTTAACATATATGCTTAGATGTTAATGTTTACATCCAGTTCATTATTTCTTCACATATAACACAAAGAATATGATGTTTAGTCATGGTTCCTTACTCCTTATGTGCTTAGAAGATAATGTTTACTTCCAGTTCATTATTTCTTCACATATAACACAAAGAATATGATTTTTAGTCATGGTTCCTTACTCTTTATGTCCCTTAGAAGATAATGTTTACTTCCAGTTCATTATTTCTTCACATATAACACAAAGAATATGATGTTTAGTCATGGTTCCTCACTCCTTATGTGCTTAGAAGATAATGTTTACTTCCAGTTCATTACTTCTTCACATATAACACAAAGAATATGATGTTTAGTCATGGTTCCCTACTCCTTATGTGCTGAGATGTTAATGTTTACTTCCAGTTCATTATTTCTTCACATATGACACAAAGAATATGATGTTTAGTCATGGTTCCTTACTCCTTATGTCACTTAGAAGATAATGTTTCATCATAGCTCATTACTCTGTAATATGTACACAAGGTGGATGATGCTTTGATCTAATTCCTATTTTTTTCATGCATACTTGAACATTCATGTTTTGTTTTTTTCATTACCTTTTAACCCTCTCGCTACATGCTCAGATGAATCAGACAAGTTCCTGACCACAAATTAACCTTTATAGCTGCCATATTATAACTTTTCTTTGTAGAATGACTTCAAAATGTAAAATAAAACTAATTTGTTTATCCTAAATAGCTTTAAACTTGTAACAGTATGCATCTGTTTATACTTAAATTTTATTGTTTTATTTCCCTTTGAATCATGTCTAACTAATCATGCTACACATAACTTGAAAAACATGTAGCTCACATTACCCTTTCGAATTATATAATATGTGGGCTGCTCACGAGTGTACTTCATGGAAATTTTATTGTGTTGGTCGTTATTTTACATAATCTAGCCTAAAAAGTTTTTAATTTTTACACTTTAATTACTTTTACAATAATAAATAAAGAATACTCATGAAAAACAAGAAATAAGGTAATTACCTAAGTTTTCTTCTTTTCTCTCTCTCTCTCTCTCTCACATATAATATGTCATTTGATAGATTAAAACTTTGGCTTTCTATTGGTTATAAAAAATATAATATTAAACATCAGAGAGAACTATTGGCAATTTTTGAAAGAGGGGATCTGACAAGCGATTGTGGCAGGAGGGGTCTATTTTCTAGTTCATGGCTTTGTAACCAAATAAGATTGAAATCTATAAAAATTATGTTTTGCCTGAGGAATGAAAATATCATAATGAGTAATTTATGTTAAATGTCATACTTCTCTGAGGGGGTATTAAATAGATTAGAGAAGAGTGGATACCTAGAGAGCAAATGTCACAATTCTTATACTAGGGAAAGTTAAGGATTTTTTTTAATATTGCTTTATAAAAATTAAGAACTTAAAACTTATATAATATAAACATTTGTATTAACTACATTTTGATGCCAAATTTATTCATATACCATGATAATATAGTACTTTAATTAAATTTTGAATGTAACTCAGTACAACCTATTGACATGTGTAGAAAAGAATGTCTGTATGGAAAGAGTTAACATGTATACATAAGAAATAATATTTTGATACTGAGTTTCTTTCCTTAACTTGTAACAATTTGACGAAGATCGATAGACATCATTCATTACTCCGTAACATATCCACTTCATGATTAATGTTTTGTCATAGCTTTTTACTGCATAATTTGTACCCATGGATGGTAGTATTTAGTTCTCATCCATTACTTCTTTACAAGTCATAGATATTGATAGTATTCACTATCTTGATAGTTTAGCACTATTCCTGAATACAATAGTTAACCTGCATACTATTTGAATAGTGCATGTGATACTTACACATGTGCATTTGGTACCAAATCACATGATCACTCAGCCACTTTTCTTTAAAACAAGGATTAAATATGGCAGCTGACAGGAAGGATGATGTGATGGATGATTGTATTATTAGTTTGAGTAATAATGGCTCAAACACAATTGAAATAGAATTGATTCCATTAGAAGACTTTACAAGAAAGATTTGGAAGATTTTTGGTTTTTCCAGGAAAAGATGGGTGTATTTCAAAAAAGATAAGAGAAAATGAATTGAAGTAACTTGTTAAGTTTGTAGCAAGCGATTCAAATATTTTGGAAACACTTTTAACATGTGTTTACATTTAAGCAATGCATGTAATTTTGCGGTAATGAAGAAGAAAAAATAAAGCTGCAAATGCAAGTAAGAAAAGCAGTGGGAGTAAAGGCAAAGTGGTGAGTTCACAAGAGCACCTTCCAGCAACATTTGAGGCTCAATTGCCTTTCACCAGATGCAACCACACTTGAAGAAGCTGACAGGTTCAGAATGTTATTTACTTGCAAAAGATATGAAACCATTTATTACAGTTAATGATCCTGACTTCCATTACATGATTAAGGTTTTTGAGCCAAGCCATACTA